ATGATCATTTATGATTGATCGTGTGTTTTTGCTTACACATAAACTACTACTCTACTGACTTAAGTGTCAGTTATTTAAAACAAGTAATGACTCATCCCCCATACTTATATTGATGTGCATCTTAAATTTCATTCAGTCATTTGTGCTTGTACCGTGTATGTGACAATTATTTGATTCGTACTGTACAATGATAAACAGTAGTAGAGAAAATATCTCGATGATATTCCATTACAGAATTAATGAAGCTGACATGATCGATCCTTGCTTTGGAATAGACTTTAATGATTCAGACAAGATAGGGCCACTAAATTATTTTTATCTGTTTAACAATTATTCCTTTCGTAGAAAATTTCAACATTTAGTACCCACTCCTCTTTTATTCAGTCCATGTAATTCCAGGCTAAAACATTTCATGTAATTTTGGATGTTTCTATCATTTATTATTTTCAATTAGGGTTACAGAGATTAGTGTTTTTACACAATCGAAATCACCAATCAATCATTGTTAGACACCTGGAATCACTGTACGGCCGTCTCATCCTGGTATGGGACCCATCGGCAGTGCTGATCCACGACTCCTGTACCTCGCAGGATTCGAACCCAGGACCTTAGGTCCTGCGCGCGAACGCTTAACCTCTGGACCACTGGACCGGAATTCAACGGTGTTAATGTCTAACTCTGATCAATCTAGAGCTTTTACGCGACCTCACCCATTTGTCTTTGATGACTAGCTTGGTGAGGAAATTCTCGGAGTTCTAGTGGGAAGACGTGACCGGTGGAGTCCAACCCTGTCGGGTGTAGGAAGTAACTACCAAAGACAAATGGGTGAGGTCGCGTAAAAGCTCTAGATTGATCAGAGTTAGACATTAACACTGTTAGGTGTCGACCCAGTGTTCCAGATGTTAGGCGTTTGCGCGCAAAACAGAAAATGCTGGGTTCGAATCCCTCAGGGTGCAGGAGTCGTGAATGTGCACTGCTGATGAGTCCCATACCAGGACGAAACGGCCGTTCAGTGCTTCCAGGTTTGATTGAATGATGGTTCAATGTGTAAAAACACTAATCTCTATAACTCTAATTTATTATTTTATCTAATGCCTATCTATCTCTTACATCATAAATTATTTGTTTTGACTAAAAATTAACGCTTGTAATGAGTAATATTTTCAATAGAGACATTTACCTTCTCCACTTCTCATCACTTTTTCTGTCTGCCAAAATAAAATGTATGAAATATAAAAATTTGAAATACTTGTATCTTACTTTTGATATCCGCATTGTTTTGAATGGGATTTAGCGACACATCGTACATCCAATGTAAATAGGATTGATATTTTATCAACAACATTAATGAATTTATCATTCTGAAGTCACACTGTGGATATTTAAATGTATAAAAAATTTAAGGGAACAGTGTAGACATTACTATTTATATCAGTTATTACCTTTCACAGTTAATTAATTAATTTATTTATTATAATAAATCAGAATGAGTAAATACTAAAAAAATCAATAGATTTATATCAAATCAGTAGCTTGATAAAAAAGTATATGAAAATTAAACATTTTGGGGAATAAAATCTTGAAACAATAATTAACTTTTCAAGTTGAATAAATATAAACTTTTTTTCATTGAAATCATGAATCGATCAATGTTGGACAACAATTAAAAAACCCGGAATCACTGAATGACCATGTCATTCTTGCATGGGACTCATCAGCACTATTCGTCTAAGATCATTCAAGAGGGATTCGAACCTAGGACCTCCGGTCCTATACGTAAACGTTTAACCTCTTGACCAATGAGTCGGTACCAATCGATGTTAATTCCCAACTCCAATCGATTGACTATATTGTGATATTATTTGACCTTGATCGGTCCATGATTTCAATAAAAATCAACTATTTTCACAACCTTGTACTGATTAGATTTTTTGTTTAGGCTTTCCTTTATATAGTTTTCATACTAGAACAACTCATATAAACTAAGAATCTTGATTTCAATTAGATCATTGTTCATCTAATATTATCTAATCAGCATGAATGTTCATATAAAATTAATAAATCAGTCAAGGCAATTTATGACTCATTGATCGCAATGAAACAAATTACGTAATTACACATAATCGATGAAATACTAGTTGATAATAGGAAGACACGTATACTGTTAGTAGTAAGAATAATAAAATACAATCATAAAAGTTTTGTTAAAAGTTCAACATTGGAAGTAGTAGGTCAAAAGTGGATAAACAGACAAATGATGGAGATTCGTTCTCTGAGCTGGATGTTTTGGCAGTGGAGCTTTCATTGTTCTTCTGAACAACATTATCAGCACAAAGTTCAGTTGAAAAAGAAGTTTTCGAATTTCTCCACGTGTATGACTCGTAGCTTGTTTTGTTGACCTCGGTCTTGATTGGTTGTTATGACGTTAAACTTGTTTTTGTCTGCAACTTAATTTCGGTTATATCTCCCTGTGATCTGTTTCTTGATCCTGTGTCTGTCTATGATTTTTAAGATTGGTTGATAAATCAAGTCAATGTGTTTATTGATTGCTCTATCAAAATTACTAGAGTAAATGAGGGACAACCAAGTAAGCAATGCTGTCATTAGGAAACGGGTGCTAGGTAAGGATGGCAGATCAATAGATGAAGTAATGAAACTTCATCAGATGAGGTGGTTGGGACATATGTTACGTATGTCCAACCAACGACTGCCTCGATGAGCTATACTTTTCAGTGTAGGAGTAGGTTGGGTGAAAGCTAGGGGCGGGCGAACTAAAACATGGCAGAAATCCATGAAATAACCGACAAGTGGACTGAGTCATGTTCGTAGATGTAGACAACCTGGTTGGGGTCCGCGAGATGAAAGTCACCGATGGTTAGAGACCTTAAATGACATGGCTGAAAATCGTTTGGAATGGCGCAGGTGCATCCACTCTTTGTGTTCTCTCAAATCCAAATATTCTGGATTCGTGAACACCTCTACTTTTGTCTTTCAAAACCTATCTCACTGAATTATACTTCTCGAATCATATCTTGGAACCCTGATCTTCTCCATCACCAGTAATACTTCTACTATCTCTCCGAACATGGGGTTTGAACTGACAGTTGCGTCTCTGTGCTAATGCGCTATGGCAACTTGAACTGATATACTTATGTACGAAGTTCTACATTGTAACTGACTGACTATTAAAATCACGGTGAAGAATATGCATGGAAAGCGGTGAATAAACTTACAAACAAATATATGATGTAAAAATAATGCTAATTATCATGAAGATAGAAAAAATTAAAATCGTTTATCAAGTTATATGCGGCCAAGGGAGGGACAGAGGGATCACGAGTTTCTTCTGAACACATAAATTAGGGTTTACTGTTCGAATTCCTATGGCTTCTGCTCCACGTCGGAGACAGGATTGAACACCGTTGGGAAATGATGGAGGTATACGGTAGATCACTAGAAATTACTCTGTTTTAACTATTTTATGACCGCTATCGGAAAGTTATGCCAAGATAGAGCTGCGTATTGTTTTTATCTGACCCTTTTCAAACCATGCTGGAAGATGTTCACTGATTCGTTGGTTATGCTGCCTGATAGTACACCAATTGTTGCTGTTTCCACAAGAGCAGCTGAATTTATAAATGCACATAGGGGGGGGGCAAGTTCAGGTAACTTATCCTCTGTTTGAGTAGACACCACTGGTAAACTCAAGAAAGTCAACGCAAGACTGGCTGCCTAAAATCACCAACTAATTATCTTCGTTAATCTATCATGTAAGACTTCGCTAGCCACATCCCAGTTGAATCGTAATTTAAGGAATAGAGTCTTCTTTCGATCGCCGATCTTGGTTAGTAAGTTATTAATAAATTCCAGATCTTTCCTTAGAGTATCTACTGAACAGATCATTTTAGATTTGCTTGTAAGATATTTAACCAAGTTTCTTTTGTAGCGGATAGGTGTAAAACTAAAGAAGTCAGTGTATTGGCAAACAGAAGAACTCTTCAATACATACTTTCACTAAACGAGCTGTCACTCTGTCCATTTAGTGAGATGTTAAGGAAATTCAGCTTTTTGTTACGCTTTTCCTCATCTATCAAAGTGATTGCCAGGTGTACACTGCTGAATTCTTCTTTACTGGTATTCTGATCTGAGATAATGATTAATGTGTCGTTGATGTAACGGCAATATAGATCTAGTTTCTTAGTAGCTTGATTAAGGGGTCCATTTTCTAAGTTTGCTGGAAAGAAACTATCTAAACTTGGGCCTATACTTCAGCCCACAGCTAGTCTGTCTATTTGTTTGTGTTAAGTATTGTACTGCACATGTGTGGGCTGAAGCATATGATCAATCTTAAATGATCATACAAGTCTGAGAATAATGATGTTCAGATATGGATAAAATTGTTATTGATTGATGAAAAATACCGCTGTCAAGTAAATATATAAGTTAATAAAAAGTCTGTTTAAATTTAGTTTAATTCTTATCAACTATTACAGAGCATTTAGGACGATGAGCTGAAAATTTTTGAGTAAAAGTATTCGATACTGATGAGCTTGTGCGATTTAGTTTATTCATTTCCAGTGGTTTCCTATCGTATAAAGCTGAAAAATAGCTAATCCGTCGAAACTATACCATTTTTCATTCTACACAGAAATGATTCTAATCTATTTCGTACCTAAAACAGGTTAGATTGTCGAAGACAGACGACAGAAAGCCTAGTCCTAATGTTCTGTACTGGTTAACATTAGGTTACCAATTAATTAACTAACTTGACAATAAAAATGAACAAAAAAAAGTAAACATACTTAATTTTGTTTTATTTTATGTATCAGGCAACTGAAAACCCATCTAGCCGCATTGTTATAACTTAAGTTAATTAAACCTTGTGTCATTATCATAGTCAGAAACATATCTATCCTTACAGTCATTCACCCTAACCGTTGACATCCAATAATCTACATAAAGCATAACAGAGTAAACAAACATGAGAAAAATAGATAAATTTAGACAACTGAATTCATGCTATAATCATTATTATTATTATTATTATTAATATTAGCAGTAGTAGTAGTAGTAGTAGTAGTAGTAGTAGTAGTAGTAGTAGTAGTAGTAGTAGTAGTAGTAGTAGTAGTAGTAACAGTAGTAGTAATAGTAGTAGTAGTAGTAGTCGTAGTAGTAGTAGTATTAGTAGTAGTAGTAGTAGTAGTAGTAGTAGTTAGTAGTAGTAGTAATAGCGATACTTTAGAAATATATGTCGTGTTTTTCTTGTACCAGAAATGTATGTCTAACTAATATCTTCACTTGTTAAATTATTTCTGAAATAATAATCATATTGTACCATTTTGTAACTTTTTTTTTCTTCTAAATTTAAATAACTAAATAAACACTGATAAAGATTTTGTAAGTTTGTAGTTGAGGCAATAACACATACAATTAAGTCTACGCATGTTTAACTATGTGTACACTATAAAATTCAACAACAAGAAAGTCTTACATATTTATTTTATATCAAAGTAAGCAATGAAAATTACACTGAACTATTGACTAGTATTCATTAATAATACTAAATACTAAATAATAGTAATAATAGATAGATAGATAGATAGACAGAACAGATTAAATGTAGTGTAATACATGTTGTTTGTTTTTTCAACACCTGTTACTACTATCTTTACTCTCAAGTGTTTCAATACATGCATATGTATGGATCAAAATGAAATTCAACTATGTACATTTCAAAATGATAAGTAAGGCAATTAACTAAAACAACTGTGTATAAGCAAATAATAATAATAATAGTGTTTTTTTTTAAATTTAATCTTCATTAGACTTTACTCTTACAGACAATGATATTTTTCTATGTCTATATGAAGAAATTATTAAATCAGTCGAAGCAGTTTATGAGTTATTTGGATAGCACTGTAATAAAATGTACAAATTGATCATGTGATGACAGGTATACTAGTTCTAATCAGAATAATAAAGGCTTAAAAATGAATGTTACATCGTAGGGAGTAAGTTAAATGGCTTGGGAAAACAACTAGACTCTGGGATAACTAACATCAGCATTATAGATTACGTAATAAGAAGTGTTCAAATGACTGGACAGTCAGACTGTTAGTGAGACATAGATTGGATTAAAGCATGATTGTGTTGTTGCACGCCGACTAGCTCCTTCGATTCCAATCAGCACTAGCCGATACTAAGCGAACACTCTAGAATCTTCTCATGTAAGAAAACTATAAATATACTAACGTCTTTTTACTTTAAACCTTCTGTCTTCTTTCTAACCTTGTTACTCGAATATAATCTATTTCCTGTTCAATCGTGTTCTGATTTGAGAGAACGTCTCGAGTGAATTGGTGTCCGAGAATACTAAGCATTAGGAATAGCTGGGTTGTAATAAAAAGAGAATTATAACAAAGACGTATATGTGGAGCGAAAAAAAAGTGAGGAGGAGGGATGAAGAAACATAAACAACAAATAGACAAGGAGTATGGAGAATAATTAATAATTCCAAATGAACTTCCAAGCACTCAGCCTCAGTTGTTTGACTAATGAATTCATGATCATAGTTTTGACGTAGGGATTTTGCGAATATACACTCAACTGTGAGGAGCCATTCATCACCTCCAAATGATGTTTGTTGAAGAATCGTCAAAAAATTAGGCGTGTTTGGTTTCTTTTGGTAGCAATCTAACTATTTTGTTGCATTATGCAAAGTTATATCAGTGATCTAAAGTAAAATTTTTAGGTTCGTTACTAAGTATGCTTGAAACTATTACGGGTTCACCTTAGTCGATAAAACGCGAACGAGACAATGAACCAGAGTCCAGGTAGGCTACCCTGATCTGCTGACTAATGAAAATTCCTGATATAGCGTAGAAAGTATATTCTACAAACACCCAGTAGGCACAATGCAATCAAGCACAAAAATCTCGTTTATTTAATCGTGGTCTAACATTGATCGATTCATAGTTTCAAAAATGTGTAACTTAACAATCTTCACAACCACGTAATGCATTTTTATCAGTCATCATATAGTTAGTTGACTGTTCATTCTTTTTTTCTCTGTATCGATTTCATCCGAGTACTGATTGATTCAAGTTACTTTTTTTCTTAACACTGATACTCACTTTAGTTGATAGAGATAGAGGGAGAGAGAGTATTTTCAAAATTAGATCACATCATGGAATTGATCAAGAGATTGTTGTTTTTTCAATGAATTTTATCTTTGTGTATGTGTGTGTGTGTGTGCGTTTGTCTAAAATGTATTGGATTAAATTTTCTGTATATTTATTTAATTAACATATTACTTACTGAGACTGAAAGTGAACTGTTGAATTTTCATATTTTTCCATGTATATTGATTTATTTATATGTTTTAAAGATTAAACAATCAAGTTTAGGAAAAGAAAAAATCTCCAACAAAAAAAAACAAATGAAGAATTTACAATTGTCTATTTATTTTTAGTTTTAAATCATTGAAATTAATTTATTATAGAATGAGTTTTTGATTAACTCATTGATAATTGGTTTTGTATATGACTTACTATATATATATATATATATATATATATATATATATATGTTTTGCTAGTTATTCTTCACAGTATTCTCTACTCATAACAAATTTTAGCTTTCATCATGTGTAACTGTTGATTTTTTGTTCCTTTATGGTGTGATTTGGTTTGATAAACCTGTATATCAACTATGTCTGCATGAAATATAATACAATGGAGGCTGGCTATTGATGTACGAACTCAAGGGGAGGTTGGAGAGAGAAACTATAGATATGTTGGTGGATGAGTGAAGTTTGGCAAAGGATTAAATGTTACTAGTGCTGGTCTTTGCTTGTGATTGGTCAAGTTGCACACAAAAAACTACCAAGTAAATAAGAGATCGAATTAGAATCAGGATTGTGGTTGGTAATTGGGCATGTAATATTGGTCAGCAGTTAAAAATGTCACACTGTCAACTTATTAATGTCAACTTTTTAAGTACACGCCTCAGATCATCACTTGCTGGTGGCCAAAATGAAACTGAAACTCAAGAAACGCTGGATGATGGGGCGGATAACATCAGAAAAGTTTAATACTGCCATTCTTCGGGATACCGTAAAATTCAGTGAATTCAAAACAGCCCTCAGCAATAAGTTTCAGTCCTTGCATGATCTACTCAATGGAGAGCATGCAACATTGGAGAACGATTGGAAAGAGATTAAGGAGGCAATCACTTCAATATGTCAATGAATGGATTGGAATGGAGTATTCATTAACGATAGAAAGGAAATTCCCAACTTGAAACAACTCATCATACTGATAGTCATGACAGAATGCAACTGTTCTCTTTGTAAAGAGATCAATCAAAAATCACCTGTCTTCACTGGATAATAATAATAATAATAATAATAATAATAATAATAATAATAATTCAGCCGATCATTTTGATATAAACCAAACCACATAATAAGTCTTTATGTTTACTGTCAGAAGTGTTATAATTAAAATGCACTCAAAAATCGTTTATATATATCTATATATACATAACATCGATTTATTGATTTTTAAATGATCGATACATTTGTATATAGTTATTGACAGATTTCATCAATATTTCAAAAATCAACTTTCGAATAATGATCCAATAAACTAAAGTCAATTTAGTAAAGAAAAGTTTCTTCTTGACAATTTCATTTACTTAAACTGTACAATTGTATTTATAACGCTAACTTAGCTAAAAATAATAGTCTACAGTAAAACAGTATCATATCGCGAAATAATAATCGGTTGATGAACGGCATTAATGTAAAGATAATTGTTCACTTGATATCTATTAAATGCCAATATTGAGAGTTGTTTCTTACTAACATATTAGTTAAATAAATCACATATATAACTGATGAGATAATCACTTTCTTTGTATGAGAAATGTAAGTAAGACAACCGTAAGGTGTATTTGATAATTACTTTCTATCATTGTTTATGTATCAATCAGTATGTGTACACTCGTATTTAAGTTTACACTATTCTCACTCATTACTTTCTTCAGAATGTAGCAAGAACATCACTCCACCTACAAATTTTCATGATATAATACAAATGTAGTGAAGGAGAACACAGGTGAGGGCAACCAAATTGTATTTGGCGAAAATTACAGAGTTACTCAGCAGTTACATCAGCAGTTCGTGCTGATGATGTTGTTCAGAAGAACAATGAAAGCTCCACAACCAAAACAACCAGCTCAGAGAACAAAACACCTTCACAATCATCCACCTGAGCTACAAGTTTTCTCCACCATCTCAGAGTTACTCAGTAAAACAGGAAAAGCATATCGTAAACGGTTAATTTGCAAATCTTCAATCCATCATCAATCCATTGTCTGACATTTCATTTATTCATGTATTTCATACAAATTCCATTGTGTTCCCACTCTTCCTTTCTTCTTGATCTTCCCCCATCTTCTGCTGCCAGACATTACGTTTTCACTCGCGTCATATACTACTTATAAGTAGCGTGCACCACACAAATATGTGTAGTCGTATTACTTACTGGATTTGGATTTTACTCTCTTCATTATCTGTCAATATACACTTATTAAAAGTTTATTTTAAGAGCACTATAATCAATGTTCAATTATGACGTATTTGCTTTGTACACAATAAATGAAGATAATAAAATGTGATTAACATTATTTTTTCTCACACAACCTGGTGTGATAAAAATGTTTTCAAATAAAAATGTCAACATTGATTAATATGGTAATTCATTTTAATGAATTATATATCTTGAAGAATATTGAATTGTCAGTTATGTTTATTCAATCACAGACTTTATATGTTAGATTATTATACACTCTACTAATACTACTTACACAAAAGTAGCTGCTGGTTAATATAATTCAACTTAAACTTGATTTAATAGATTATAAGGTGATGTAACTTGATTAAATTAAAGATTTATTGATTCTCATCACATAAGAGTAGAATCTATTTTTGAAAGTATCACCATAGCAACGTTAACCTGCCCATGGAAGAATAAATAGTGTGTCTTATATTTTGATGAGAATAATGGTATTGATACAATTAATTAGGGCATGAAATTTTTTTCTTCTGATGGATTTATGTCATAAAATGTATTACCTTAATAATAAGTATCATTATAAAAGCTATGCAAAGTTTGTTTATGTGAATACATTTTTTCTATCCCAGTAATTATTTGATTTCAGTAGTATGTATACAGTGAACTCATTAATTAACGAATAAAATATTGTCAGAAATAATGAATGTCATTTCACATATGTTCGTTCAACTGATTGCATTTTTCAAATAGCACCATTTTT